GCACCTCTGCTCCTGCGGGCGGCTGTGCTGTGAAGTCGGGATCTACTGTGTAACCGTGCTCGAAGAGTGCTGTGAGAAGTGGATGGCCGGCAGTGACTGTGAGGCTAGCGAGCTGGCAACTAGGGCGAGTGAGCGGATCTGCTGGGTTGCAAACGTCTGGCTTATACTCTATCCTGTAATGAAAGCTCCCCTCCATGAACTCCATCCATCTAGCCTGGCGACGACTCAGCTGCGGCTGCGACTTGAGGAAACGAAGCGAACAGTGGTCTGTGCATATAACACTATCTGCCCCATCTAGGTAGCACCTCTATACCTTATACGCATGGATAATCGCGAGCGCCTCCTTGTCGTGAATCGGATAGTTCAGCTCCGCTCCCCTCAGCTTACGCGACTCGTACGCGATCGGCTGCAACCCGCGGCCCTGGTCCTGAAGAAGCACTGCACCTATGGCCTGATCTGAATCTTCGGTCACTACAACGTACGGACGAGTGGGGTCAGGATACGACAGTGTTGGTGAAGACGTGAGCGACTGCTTCATCTGCTCGAACGCCTGCTGCTGCGCTGGACCCCAAACGTACTCTACGCCTTTCCGAAGTAGGTCGGTGAGTGGACTAGCGATGGAAGCTTACTGAACGAAACGACGGTAGTAATTCGCGAAACCGAGGAAGCTCTGCAGTTCCTTGACTGGGGTCGGTGCTACCCAATCCTGTACGGCTGCGATCTTCTTCGGGTCGGTCCTAATGCCACTAGCGGAAACGACGTGACCTAGAAACTCGACCTTTGGAAGGAAGAACTCGCATTTCGACTGCTTCGCGTACAGCTTCTCCCTCCGCAAGACCTAAAAAACCCTCTGCAAGTGCTGCACGTGCTCCTCTTTCGACTTGGAGAAGATCAGGATGTCGTCTAAGTAAACAACAACGAACGAACCTAGGAACTCGGAGAGGACATGTTCATAAGCGTCTGAAACGTCGCTGGGGCGTTGGTCAATCCGAACGGTAGAACTCTAAACTCGTACAACCCCTGCTTCGTACGGAGCTCCGTCTTCTGCTGGTCCTCTGGAACTACGCGAATCTGGTGGTACCCTGATCGAAGATCGATCTTGGAGAAAACTCTAGCGCCCTGCACTGCATCTAGAAGATCCTCTACTCTCGGCACCGGGAATCTGTTCTTGACGGTGGCCGTATTCAGTGCGCGGTAATCTATGCACATCCGTAACCCTCCGTCTTTCTTAGGCGCGAAAAGGATCGGTGCTGCCCAAGGCGATCTAGATGGCTGTATGAACCCCTGTGCGAGAAAGTGCCTAACCTGCTGCGTCATCTCCTCTGTCTCTGCTGGACTCAACCTCCACTGCGTCACTCCTTAGTGTTTTCGTGTTTAAATATTACTGTACAGAAGCACAGGGAATGTTTAGACTCGTGGTAGCGAGAGGGGATTGATACTTTAGCAAAGCGGAGCAGCGGATGGGAGAGGAGATTGTGGGGGTGGTAAGGGGAGAGTTGGGGGAAGAGCAAGCGCGCAACGGACGGTGGGATCGCCACGCCATCCGCTCACTGGGTTGCACGCCACCTTGCACTGCGTGGAGTGAGTAATAGAAGCAAGACGGAAGCGCTGTGAAAGAGCTCAAGTATGGATAGGAATGAGGGTGGAACGAGCGACTTTTGTTGGGAGGTTTGGTGATTGCGCGTGGGTCCAGCGGCAGCCGTGTCGCATGCTCACCGCGCTGCTGCTCGCCGAGCCACGTGCGCCGAGCGCCCTTCCGGCGGCGCGCGTGCGGCGGTGAAGCGGCAGGTGCGCGTGGGACGAGGTGGGCAGCGAGCCCATTGCGAGCGCGCGCGGCGGATCCACGCGGCAGCGCCATTCGCGCGCCACCCGACCGTCCGTGCTCACCATTCACTGCACGCTGCGCGCCCACCCCCGCCCTCGCGCGCCACTCACCCACACCCACCCACGCGCGGCAGTGAGGCACAGGCATCCGCGCTTGCATGGGCGCGGTGGTAGCAAGCAGGCGTGCGTGGTTGGGCAGCGCGGTTGCATGGCGGTAGGTGGGCGTGTGGGGCGCACGACACGGTGGCACGCGGCAGCAGTGGTGGTGGCAAGTGGCCATCCGCGGCACCACTGTCATCACCGCCCAACTGCGCTTTCCCGTAAGAGCCGACTCACACACCGCACCACCCTGCCGCTCACAAGCGCCAACTCACTCTCACGCTCGCCCCTGCAATACGCGTGAGTGGTGAGAGTGAGCGGTGAGAGTGAGTGGTGAGAGTGAGTGGTGAGAGTGAGCGGTGAGAGTGAGTGGTGAGAGTGAGTGGTGAGAGTGAGTGGTGAGAGTGAGTGGTGAGAGTGAGAGGTGAGAGTGAGTGGTGAGAATGAGAGGTGAGAGTGAGTGGTGAGAGTGAGTGGTGAGAGTGAGAGGTGAGAGTGAGTGGTGAGAGTGAGAGGTGAGAGTGAGTGGTGAGAGTGAGAGGTGAGAGTGAGTGGTGAGTGTGAGTGGTGAGAGTTTGAGGTGAGAGTGAGTGGTGAGAGTGAGAGGTGAGAGTGAGTGCTGAAAGTGAGAGGTGAGAGTGAGTGGTGAGTGTGAGAGGTGAGAGTAAGAGGTGAGAGTGAGTGGTGAGAGTGAGTGGTGAGAGTGAGTGGTGAGAGTGAGAGGTGAGAGTGAGTGGTAGGAGTGGTGTGAGTGGTGTGAGTGCGGTGACGTGGCGCAAGACATGAGGCAAGTGTAGCACGAAGTGGCTCCTAGTGCTCTCCAATTCACAGTGCCTTTTCGCCCCACCCTACAGTGCCACATGCGGTGGCGTTGGCGCGGGAACAATGATGCTTGGGAGTGTGCGTGAGAGCGTGGTATGGCATGTGGTGTGATGCACGTGTGGCGTGTGGCAGTGGCGCGCATGAGAGGTGGGGTGCGTGCCTGTGGACGAGGGCGTGCCCAACCACGTGCTGTGCTGCTCTGCGTCGCCTGCTGCAACCCAACCACGCCACGCCCGCGCTCTGCTTCTCCACCCCACTCGCCAACCACCCTGCACTGCACGCGCATGCTCCTGCTGCTGCCCACGTGGGAGCGGGCGGGGGAGTGCAAGCAGGGGCGCGGGGGGTGGCAGCAGGGGCGCGCAGGGAGGGCGAGTTGAGGCAGCTACTGCGTGGCGGCGCGGGAATAGTCGGCTTGTACTCTCTGCGCTGCAACTGGCGTTGCCTCTTGACGTGGGTGGATTGGGGGCAGTGCGCATGGGGCAGTGAGCGCGGAGTGTGGGCGCGTGGGGGCGTGCGGTGTGGGCATTGGGTGGAGTGAGAGGGGCCATGGTTGATGTGGCATGGTGCATGCAGGATGCGGGGCACATGGCATTGGGGGAGCAAGCACCTGCATGCACATCCCACGCGCATGCTCTCCATATGCGCGGCCCCCTTCCCGCCCGCATGCTGCTCTGCAAACACCATTCTTTGCTTCGCCCTGCTTACCATCCGCCACCCAATGCTTCCTACTCGCCCTGCCTGCTCTGCATGTGCGTGCCTGCTATAGCCTGGGGCTGTGCATGGGGGTGGGTGGGGATGAGGGTAGGTGAGTGCGTGGATGAGGCATGATGGGGGGTTCAAGGAGCTGCACTGGCCTTCACTCGCACGCATTGCCCATCACGCCCATTCACTGCCCCTCAATGCCTGCATGTGCCTCAGTGCCAATCACTCACTGCACCATAAGCACCACCACCTGCCACCCCACGCTGCCCGCTACACCCACCTGCTCTCCCCCACAATGCCACCACTCGCTGCACTTAACCCTACAAGGAACCTAACTCTGCGTACCTCCCTGCCTCCCTCCCGTGCACCCTCCCACTCACTCTTGACGCACCTGCAGCAGCAGGGAATGACAGCCAGGCGTCAGTCACTCCCCCAAGCGAAGGATGTTGCTTCTGCCCGCTGTGTGCTGCGAAGCCACTGCCTTGGTGCGTCTCAACTCATCATGCTCTGATGTGTGTCACCACGGCTGCCAAGTGAGCACAAGCACTGCCGCTGCAGCAGAAATTGAAGTGGACGGTACTAGAGCTTGTACAATGTAGTGCAGTATCTATCACACCTCCCAGGGCATTGTGTGTCAAGTACCGTATGAATGGACACACACACCATTCACTCACCCTAGGAGTCTCTGTACTAGCCCCTGCAAGGTTGCTGCATCCATTCATACCCCAGTGCCACTTCAAATTGTAAAATAGCCAATGCTACCATTACATGAAGGAACTACTACCGTACTAGCCACAATTTCACACCAACTACTAACTAATTGCTACCCCAGCCCTGAGCCATCCCTTCAAGAGCACATCAGTCCTGAGCCATGCCTTCAGGAGCACATCAGTCATGAGCCATCCATTCAAGAGCACATCAGTCCTGAGCCATCCCTTCAGGAGCACATCAGTCCTGAGCCATCCCTTCAGGAGCACATCAGTCCTGAGCCATCCCTTCAGGAGCACATCAGCATAGCAGCAGTTTTTTTGGCCTTCCACCCTCCAGCCACCAAGGTCAGCAAACCCCCACTGCCACAAACAGCCTGCTGTGAAGCAGGCTGCAAAAAAGGCTAGTGTCCCACCATGGTTCCCAACCCGCTTCCCCAAACCGCCCCTCAACCCCCCACTCGCTCGTCCCTGCTGTGCTTCTGTGCCATCGGCCGCCTTTACCCCATCCCTGCATTTCCCTTCATTCTCCGTCCCTGCTTTCATTCTTTTTTCTCTTTTTAATTTTATATTTTTGCCATGCCACATGTTCTGTCAGTCTTTTTCTCTTTTTTTTTTAACCTTTTTGTTTTTTACCTTTCATTTTGTTGTGACGGCAGCAGTCAAGGCCGCCATGGGCGCCTTCAGGTGGCGAGCCCGACCTTGGGTGTTGTGCTAGGCCGCTTGCGTGCAGCTTCAACTTGCACTTCCCGCACCTCCCAGTGCGGTGCAGCACAGCTAGGCCTGGGAATCAGAGTCGCTCCCTCCACGCGCCTCACATTCACTCACTTGCTGCTCGGTTTCGGGATGCGCGTCGGCGGTACAGTATGTGCTGCCTTGCTGCGACCTGCTGACGCCGTTGACGCGCGGGAATGTGCTGCGCATTCCGCCCACGGTGCACATTCCGCCGACGCTGCACATTCCGCCGACGCTGCACATTCCGCCGACGCTGCACATTCCGCCGACGCTGCACATTCCGCCGACGCTGCACATTCCGCCGACGCTGCGCATTCCGCCGACGCTGCACATTCCGCCGACGCTGCGTATTCCGCCGACGCTGCACATTCCGCCGACGCTGCGCATTCCGCCGACGCTGCGCATTCCGCCGACGCTGCACAATCCGCCGACACAGCAGATTCCGCCGATGCTGCAGGTTGCGATGCTGGAGAGTCTAATGCTGTAGGGTCCGACTCTGCACATTCTGATGCTGCACGTTGCGATGTTGCGGAATCCGACGTTGCAGCCGCAGTTTGCGATTTGGCACAATCGGCCGCTTTAGGCGTCACTTGATCTGACCTTGAAGCCGGATCTCGCGCCGGCGCTTGATGCGACGTCACAGGTGGAAGCACAGGAAGCTTTGGCGCTGCTGCTGTAACACCTCGCTACCCACTGGGTCAAAACGAGGGTTATATTTGAGGCGCAGCGGATGCACTCATACCCTTACGTGTAAGCCCTAGGTGTTACGGCTGCTGTGTCGTCGCGAGAGCAGGCGTCGTTGCAGCTGGCGCCGGCGTCATGGCTAGAATCGCCATTGTTGGTGCTGCAGCGGGCCGTGACGGCGGAAGAACGGCTCGTGTCTTTCGATCCGCCGCTGGACGACTCGCCCAGCGGCTGAACGAGGCGTGATGCCGTCGAGTCCTCCCTGCCGAGACTCTTCCAGAAGCTAAGCGCTGCAGCATACGACGGATAATCTGAGCAGGAAACTGAGGCCATGCTAACGCTGAATGAAAACGGCAACGGAAGGCTGAGAGCTAGTCACAAGAGAGAGCGAAGCTGGAGAGCGATGAGAGGAATGAGCGTACGCGAGTGATTTGTAGTGCGCAGGTGTGAGGGTGGTGAGTGGAGTGGTGGAGAGGCAGAGAGGGAAGGCCTTGGGGTCGTCGGGGAGGGAGGCGAGCAGACACCAGGGCAGCACGCAGGCTCCGTGCGCTGCGGAGAGATGAAGGTGCGGGAAAAGTAGGCTGGAGTGTTACTTCGGTTCACTCGGGTAAATTCAGCTTCGCGCGCACTTGTGTGCGTTTCACGTCGGTCGGGGACCTCCCGATCTCCTCGAGAGAGCTGCTTCGGCCTGGCTTGTCGGCCCCAAACCACTCTCGAGTCGCTTTCGTAACCTTCCCGAGCCAGTTTTTGCCCTTGGTTTTCGCCTAGCTCGTCAGCGCTACCTTGTCTTGTCGATCGCTTTGCACACCTCCAAATCTTGCTGCACCATACTTATGAAATGGCCACGGACGTTTTGCATATATGTAAGTATTGAACAAAAGCTACTTGGATCATTGAGTTAATATTCAACGTATTGTGCTGTATTTCTTCTAGTCCATGGTAAGGAAATCTCCCATTTACATTATTGGGGTTTACTCTTTCGCGTACAATTCCAACTTCCGGAAGTGCACACTCGTCTGGTCCGTTGCTGCCGAAGCAACCACATGTCGCCTTCAATTTTCCTTTGCCCAACCTACACCCAACCTCTTGTCCTCGAGGTTCTTGCCTAGCTAGGTTGACCCTCTATAAAATCGCGTACCTTTCATTGTGTCGTCAGTTTTGTTGGGCCGAGAAAAGCCCTTAGGATCTTTCCAAGGCTAAACGCTGGGTAGGAATATTGTAATTGCGGAAGCGTTTTAAAGTAAGTGTTGAACCACCTTGCGCTAGTATGTGAGGGCAAGATAGATTGATTATAGAAAAGTAGTACAAGGTTTTTATAAGATTACAAGAAGTATGAAAGGATGCAATTACCGTTTTACTGTTGTCAGAATGCTATATTTCTCTAGTCTGCAGTAGGGTACTCTATAGTGAGTACAGCCCTGTTAGGGTTTGCTATATGTATCCCATTGTTTGCTAGTGAAACCCCTCTTTTGCCTATTCTCTCTTGCCTAGCTAGCTAAACCCTAGCTATGGCTCCTGCGTTCTAGCTACTGTTTCAACATGCTATCAGAGCGGTTATGCTCCTGGCCTGTGGGCCCGCCTGCTTCCGCTACCATACTGTCGCGCGACGTTCTTTTTTCTTCCCGCCACGCGCTCGGGGCGCGTGGCGGTTTCCTGCCCGCCGCGCGCCCCGGGCGCGCGCGGCGGTTTCGTGCTCCGTCCCGCACGCTCCCCCCCGTCGTCCGTCGCGGCGCCCCGGAGGACCCGCGCGTCGTCCCTCGTCGCCCGTCGTGGCGCCCCCAGGGACCCGCGTGTCCCCCATGTCGCCCGTCTTGGCACCCCCCAGGGACCCGCGCGTCGCTCCGCAGTGCCCGTCGTGGCGCCTCACGGACCTGTGCGTCGATCCCCGTCGCCCGTCGTGGCGCCCTAGGGACCCGCGCGCCGCCCCCCGTCGCCCGTCGCGGCGCCCCCAGGGACCCGCGCGTCGCCCCTCGTCGCCCGTCGTGACGCCCCAGGGGACCCGCGCGCCGCCCCTTGCCCCTGCTTCTCCTCGCCCCTCCCCGTTCTCCTTCCTCTCCCTCCTGCGCCTACAGCTCTGGGGGTGGAGAGTATGGGGGTGGCGGGTGTGTGAGCCGTCCCCTGCTCCTCCTCCTCCTCTGTCTCCCACTGCTACAGCTATCGCTGAGGGGGGTGGATGTGTGGGAGACGAGGGAGTGGCGCTAGGGGGGTGATGTGGGAGTGGAGCTAGGGGAGCATAATGGGGTGTGTGAAAAAGGGGCTCTACGACAGTGGGGGAGGTTGAACGGAGGTAGCCGTTGTAGAGCCCGACACGCCAGTGTCCGGACGTCGCTGCTCCGGTAGCCAGCGAGCCAGTTGCAACAGTTGCCCATGGGTCCGTTGCTCCAGCCGCTCGTCGTAGCCGCGGAGCCAGTTACTCCAGTAGTCCCGACGTCGCTACTCCGGTAGCCTGTGTGCCAGTTGCTCTAATCGCCAGTGTGCCAGCAGCTTCACCGCCGCCTCCACTCTCCTCTCCTTGCACAGTCTCTCCTCCTCCTCACGAGTCCTCTGTGTCTCCCACTAGCTCTGCTTGTGCGTGTGGATTTTATTATGTGACTTTTTGCTGTACTGATTATACCCCACTTTGACTATGGGGGTGTGTTAGAATGTTATATTTCTCTAGTCTGCAGTGGGTTGCCCTATAGTGAGTATAGCCCTATTAGGGTTTGCTACATGTATCCCATTGTTTGCTAGTGAAACCCCTCTTTTGCCTATTCTCTCTTGCCTAGCTAGCTAAACCCTAGCTATGGCTTTTGCGTTCTAGCTACTGTTTCAACAACTGTTGCTGTTGCGGTTCGATACAGTGACGACTCGGGCAACTGCTCAATAGCGAGTCAGTTGTTTGTCCTTGCTGTCGCGCTGTATTTGTCGAGTCAAAGGTCAGCGACCTTTGACCTTCGCGTAACCTCCGGCTGTTACTTTTCTGTCAACCTCCTCGGTTGACTCGCCGTTGCTTCGTGCGCTATAGTTTGACTGGTTTAAAGTGCGATGTTGCGAAACACAAGAAGTGTTAATTTACTTGTATCCAACACTCCCCTTCGCTTCTGGAGTGTCGTTGCTGATGACGTGGCTTTGTCCAGTCAGCAACATGCAGTACTCGAACTTCTGCTTTCCAAGCTTCTTGGTCAAATAGTCGGATACCATCTCGGACGTGGGGCAGTAGGATAGTTCGAATCTCCCCTTCTCGATCTCGTCTTTCACGAAGAAGTTCCGCAGGGCGATGTGCTTCGTCCGGTTCGTGAACCCGTTTTTGTTCGCTATGCGAATTGCTGACTGGTTGTCGCAGAACAGGGAGAAGCTGGGTAACTGAGCCAGCTTCGCTTCTTCCAGCAGTTCGCGAAGGTACAATCCTTCCTTGGTGGCTGAGCAGAGTGCAATATATTCTGCTTCAGCTGAGGAGAGGGCGATTAGTTCCTGTTTGCTCGACTGCCACGAGATAGGCCCGATAGGCTCGAGTCGGTAGATGTAGCCGGTGCGTGAGCGCCTGTTGTCAGAGTCGCCGGCGTGGTCAGCATCAACGTGGCCGATTAACTTGGCCGTCGTGGTTCCGGTCTTGTGGTAAGTTTGGCCGATCGTCGAAGTGCTGACGAGGTAGTGGAGTGCGCGGTCGAGCTCCGCCATGTGCTCTGCTTCAGGTTTCTTGAGGTAGGTGGCGAGCTGGCTTGCGGAGTATGATAGATCCGGTTGGCAGGTGACGGCTGCGAAGAGCAAGCATCCCAGCTTTCGCTGGTAGTCGCGTATGCCGGCGGGCTTTTGTGATTTCCGGCGGTGTGACGATATGGCGTGGAGATAGGGATTGGGGTAAGTCCGAAGCGTTTGGCGATGGTGTCGGCGTACTTCATGGTGCTGAGGTAGATCGCCTTTCTCCTTCCTGTATGTTAAGCCCGAGGTATTGTGTTACGGTAGATGAGACCGTGAGCGTGAGGTCCTGCCGCAGCTCCCCTTCGAACCAGGTCATGACGCCGTCGGTCGAGCCGATGTAGAGCAGATCGTCCACGTAGACGATGAGCAGGATGTGGTCGTTCCTTTCGTGAGCCGGTACATGCCCTGGTCGTGCGGTAGCTGGCGGAATCCGATGCGGATGAGTCGGGCGTGTAGGTACTGCTGCCACAGCCTCGGAGCTTGCTTGATGCCGTACAGTGATTTTAGTAGTTGGCAGACTTTGTTGGGGTCTGCGTTGGAGCCGTGCGGTTGCTCGACGAAAATCTCAGCATCAACGAGAGCGTAGAGGAAGGAATTGGCGACGTCGATTTGTCGGAGCTTCTTCCGCTTCATGGCGGCTATCGCGAGGAGAATTCGCAGTGAGGTGTGCAAGCTGACCGGCGCGAACGTTTCGGTGAAGTCTCGTTCGTGCACTTGGTCGAAGCCGCGTACGACCCAGCGTGCTTTGAACTTGTCGATGGTTCCATCTGCCTTTGTTTTTATGCGGAAAACCCATTTTCCGTTGAGAATGGTCTTGTTCCGTGCCACCCCGATAGGTACGACCTTCCAGGTGTTGCGTTCTTCCAGCGCCTTTAACTCCCTGTCCATGGCTTCGCGCCATTTTTTCTTGTGTTCCCCCCCCAAAGCATACTAAACTGTGGCAGGCTCCTTAGGCGGCGCTGAGCCGTGGACTGCGATGACGAGCTCGAGTATCTGCAGCTCACTCTGTGTGTAGCGAGGGAGAGTTGTATCCTCGGGATAAACTGTTTCGTCTCCCGCTTCTGGATCAGGTATGAAATTGGGTCCTACGCGTTCTGCTTCGTCGGTGTTGACTTGCGCTTTCGAATGTAACGTAACCCTTGTTAGAGATTAAGAACGGAGTCTATGACGTTTAGGGGCCGAAATAACTCAAATGTTTGGACCTAGTTTCTGGACAGAAACCGCACCTTCAC